CTTTAATCCAAGACATTTTGTTCTAATCAAGAACTCCTTTAAACCCCTTTCACCAGAGTACTTTACCATAGTGCTATATGACCTCTAAGGTTTAGCACACTTGTTTAAAAGTATTTATTATTAACAATTATCTGTGATTTGCAACTACAGTCTACTGTTTTAGAAACATACTGTCACTTTTAACTACTCTCATTGGGTGCTTACTTGTTTCCAGTTCTTAACGGGGGGGTAATTATTTAATGTATTACTCTACACTTGGGTAGCACGTTTTATTATTGACTAGCACTGGTATTCCATATTTCAAACCCAGACTCCAGTGCTATCGTAGACTTTCATAAACGAATTAAGTATAATCAATTTTGATCTTCTATAGTTTAATAATATATCGCTCTTCATCTCAAATTTTCACTCGCTTCTGTTACCTTCGCCCGTTATGTCGTAAGGTTAGGAAAGAATAGTCTGGCCTTAAATTACAAGGGATGAACATTAAACCACCCAGAAAGTCTGGCAACCTGGCACCAACGGTTTTCGTCTCTTCCTCTTTGAACTGTTTGCGTTGCTGAGGTTTGACCACTCCGTCCATTCCTTCACAGTTTTTTCTCGTGAGTGTTGTTATTTTTCTGTTATTTACATTGTGTCTTCTAAACTTAGGCATAAATGTATGTTTAAATACTATTGGAGCAATTATGCATTCTTTGTGTTCATGCAAATGCAAACTATTGCCATCATGAAATCATGATGGCAATTTACAGGATGCTGATTGCGATAATACATCAAATGTCCGTAAGGACTACAAATGAATTCAAAACCTAACAAAATTTAAAAGATTAGTTTTTCTGTTTTCTGAGAAATGTTGATTAGAGTATTTTACACAATGTATTGATCTTGCTGAGTACAAGAGAAGCTTGGAATATTTTGAGATTATCTTCTGTCTGGAAAGTTTTTTCTTGATAAAGCTATATGCTCATAGCCTTGACATTTTAAATGTAATTCAGTAGGGTGTCAAAATAAGAAGGATGATTTTTTTCACAATGTCAGGAAGAGGGGACACACGCTTTTTCATTAGATTCTAAGTGGAAAAATTGATTTGTAAAGGTGAGAGTAGGAAATTTTCAGAAGAGAATTGCAGTGCAACATTTTTATGAGTTTATGGTGTATAATGTACACACATACATGTGTGTGTATGGATGTACCAACATAGAATTTAAAACCTAGTGAATGAAGACATTATAGGATAATGTTATCCAGGCGAGACTATACTAGGAAATTTAGCAAATAAGTACAATACACTGTGCATAATGTAGTGAATGAAACGAAGTACCAAGAAACTAAAATATATCGATTCTCCTCAGCAACAACCACTGTTCCCCTGTGTTTAGCTCCTGCAGTTGATGTTCGTCATACGCTCATATTCATCTTATTTTTCGACACTTCATTCGGGGCAAAAACTTTGTATACTTCGCCAGTATCTCAATAAAAGACTTAAACCGTCAAGAACCCCGACAACCGGCAATACGAACACTTTTTCACAAACCAATGTTTAGCGTCCAGTCTAAGTTCCCTTTTAAGTTGCTTGAGAGCTTTAGGTATACTGAAAGTCACATAGAATCAAATAAACACATTTATTGAATATATAACACTTAGATTCAGCACATATATAACAAGCTATGCAGTCTATTCTATTGGTACACAAGCAGTTTTGGTTAGCAAAGGAAAAAAATGTGCATGGTTATCATACCTATGTATCCAAGAGTCGATGCTTTTGAATTTTTCTCAAATTTAGATACTGTTGATGAGTATTTTTTCCGCCATGACCGTTAAACAGAAGTTAGAATAATGTTTATAACAATATTGATAAATACTCGAAAATCCACCCATTAATCCAGGCATACTTTTTGGCGGGAAAGGAAGGCGACCAAATCCTATAATCTAAACATTTAGAAACATCGAAACCTTTCCGTTTAATATATATATCGTTGAAATGAAAAACAAAATCTAGTGTTGATCACTTGAATTTATTTTATCACAGAATTTATATTTTTCGAAGCAACTCACAGGCATAACCTAAAAAAAAAAAGCAAAATGAAGAGATATGAATGCTAGAGTTATCGTGTACCTGAGACTATTTGTTAAACATCAATTTGTCAGGAAGCATCAGCCAACGGCCAAATTTTTGAAAAACTCACTAATTGTTTCTTGTTTATTTAAGCGCTAACAAACGGTAATTAGTAACTGCATTTGAAATTATGACGCCAAAGAAAAAGGGACAAAAGCGCAATGAAAAGGGAAATATAAATTGATAAAAATCAGTGAGCTGTGAATGCTCATGTTGCGATATGTTGGTTGACGCCTCTCAACAGGTCATTCTCTAGATGTCTTATGAATATTTCACAGATTCCTGCGATTTGACGAAAAGCAAAACAGATTTATATACAAGCAAACATATACTAAAAGTTATGAACTAAAAGTAATTTGATTTTTTTCCTAAAGTTCTTTTTTTTTTCTTGAAGCTTGGATGTGAATGGATTTGGTATATCTAGTTATTTGAATTCCTTCTTTATATGCATACATATATACCAAATTCCTCAAATCACTCGCTTCATTATAAACAAACTGCATTTCGAAAGACGATCAAAGCTGAAATAAGTTCGTGATATCGCCTCAACTGCTATATGAAAGAATACGAAGCATAATGCACTTAACACCGAAATGCGGGTGAATTCCTTAATAACTACCGAGGAGTGATGGCGCAGGCTGTTAGTCCTCCACTTATCCTCTTACATACAATATTGTTCGCGGATTAGAGGAAAATGGGACAACTAACAGGTACTTAGCCTAAAGTTGCGTGACTCTATAAGTCTTGTCCTCCATTTGATCAGCATCTTCGCGCTGGAAAGCAACATCTTCGTCCTGCTGGCTGTTCTTCTCCCAGACCACAGGGGAGTCCATCCTCTCGGCAGATCGCCCCAGGAGACCGCAGGCTTCGGCGGGACTCGACTTCGATCCGACTGGTCTTGAGCCCGCCTCGGCGCACCTCGACTCCATCTAGAGTCACGTGCGAGACTTCGTCGGTGGAGGAGTACGTGTCGTTCAGAAAGACCTCTGCCTCGTCCTGTAACGACGAGCTCTCCTCCGTGCACTCGAAGTATTCCTCCCCGCTGTTGTCGAAGAAGTTGGCATTCGGCGATAAGGTATCGGTGGCGCTGGACAGGATATCCTCTAAAGACTCTACGCTCGTGTAGGACGCGATCTCTTCTATGCGGTGGAAGAGTTTCACTGGTTTCTTTTCTGTCAGTGACGAGTTTAGTTCGCGTTCTAGGAGACCTCGCTGCAGGAAAGGTTTCTTCTCTGTAAGGAGAGATTTTCTCAAGGGTTTTGGAGGAGTCTCTGGAGGTGGAGTCTTATTTCTACATAGTACAAATTCTTCGTGGACAGATACTTCTTCCTGAACAGGTTCTTTGGTTTTGTGTTTTGGGACCATGGCGACGATGGTCGGCGTAGTGTCCCCTTTGCTGCGGGATCGGGTCAGAGAGCGGTTCCTCGCAGTCTGGGCTTTCGACGCTCACAACTGCCGGGTAGGATTCCTCTTCATTCTTCTTTTTCCTGTCAAAGAAAAATTTGTACGCCGAAACCTTGCTGTTTTTATCTTGCAGAGCCTTATTTGCCGGGTCTTCTGCAGTGAACACCTGATTTTCATTTGGTTTAACTTCCTCTTTCTTGGTTTTCGAAGGGGAATGTTTTTTCTTCCTTTTCAAACCCCACATGAATCGTCTTATGTCTCTAGCACTATCGACGGAGGTCTCAGAGGTCTCTGACTTCGTCTCCTGATCCTCTTCTAACTGCCGGCTTCTTTTGGCTTCATCAATGTGTTTCATGTCATGCTGTGGCGACTGCCTCGCTTCAGCCCAGCCTGTGATCGTTTTCTTTTCGAGTCTGTTTTCAACCGTTTCTCTCGTTAATTCCTCGTGCTTCTTTTCTAAGTTGGAGATTTTTTCTGCCACCGAGGACCCGCCGGATTTTGAGGAATCCTTGTTTCCAATATCAGAGGCCGAACGTACACTCTGCAGTCTTTTTCTCCTGACAAATACCTTTTGTTTCGGCGCTTGGGATGTGATTCCTTCGTCTCCTGTATCCGGAGTGTCGTCGTCGTAAAGAGTAAATTTCCGGATTAGCTTTTCTCTTGGCAGCTTATCCTCCGGCGTCAAGAAAAGATGGCTTCTACTGCCTCCTCGACAGAACCTGGATTGGCTTTGTATTCGTCTGCTGACACTTCGGTGCTGGAAGTGTGTTCCACTACCTGATAGCTGCTGCTCTTCACAGGAGTCGCCGGTTTTTCTGGTGCGGTGTTTTCATTATTGATGCCTGACTTCACGAAATTCCGAAAGGATAGTCTGTCTAGTGCCGCCCATGCTAGATTTGAGGAATTTGCTCTCTGGGCGACACGTCAGTCTCAATATTAAACGACTTTTTTTTTAGTGAATTATTAGGGGAATTGCGCTGCTCGTTCCCCTCCCCTCCTTTGGCAATCTCGAGCCGCAGGACACTGGCGGCGGAGTATTTCTTCCAGTCAGCAGTGTGGTGTCCTCGCTGCCTTTGCTATAATCTGTCGAACATAATTCCTGAGCATCTCCGTCTGTCCCACTGCACTCCTTGTCAGCCACGACAGCAATGGCACTCGGGCCATCACCTGTCGCGACAGGAGGAACTGCCATTTCGTCCATGGCGGGTAAGGTGTCAACTTCAACCCTATAGTTTACCACTGTCATGTCATCCAGGTTTGGGGAACTTGCCAAAGCCTTCACACTGGCCAGTTCTTCAGAAAATGCTTTGTCATCATCATTTAGGTCTTTCTTCCCCTCAGAGAGCGTGGCTTTGATCGCATCGTATTTCATTCTTTCCTGTGGAATCGGACTTTCTGTGAGGCCCCGAATCTTTTGAAGGAACTCATGACGTAGTTCGTTTTTTTTGAGTCTCTATGTCTCTTTGTTTTCTTTCTTGATCTAGATTTCTGGCTTTCGCATCTTCACAACAACATCCGTATCACTTTCCTTTTTCACAGGCTCTGGTTTTGCAGCACTGCTTTTACTAACATCAACGTGGACTTCAGATTTCTTTTGTTCTTCATCGTCTGATAACTCAAACATAGTTTCCTCAAAACGTTCATCATTGGGATGAGACGTTTGTTCAATTCCCTTCGTCTTCAGGTTTATCATCCATGGTGGGAGACGTTGAGTACAGGCGCAGGAAGTCCTGTTGAATGAGAGTGCCAATGGAAAGGGGCCGAGGAGAGCGCGGGGAAGCGGGCAGGGACTGTGCCTTTATTCTCATGGCGAATTGTTCCACCATCTTGTTTACGGGAGTGGTTGAAATTTCCCTCACAGGTGTTGTGCGCAGGCTTGAAGAGCGCTTTGGTGTGTACGTCTCCACTGGAAAGGGCTTTACAAACTCCACGCTGTCATCCTTACATTGGCATCCTGTTCAGAGGACCATCCTCTGTCTGGGCGTCTTCTAGATTCGTGTCACTAGATTTCATGGTAACTCCCTCCTGAATCTCGGATATTTTCCGTTGTACACTCGCAAGATCATTTGATGCTTCTGGGTCTTCAGGGGGTTGCTGCTCGCTACTCTGACAGTCTTGAACGGGACAGTCTTGAACGACCTTTTGTCATCCTCTATTGTGGCTGACGTATCTTTAGCACAGGATCATCATATATCTGACTCCATCTCGATCTTCGCAGTACATTTTCAGTCTTTGGACTCACTGGTCGCTCAATCAGCTGCTGTTCTGCCTGAATTCGCTGAGCAAAATGTTCCACCATCTTGAATACTGAAGGGGTACATTGTTCATCAACCTGAGGTGATGTCTGTTTGGGCAATTCTGGTGGAGTTTCATCCTTTTGTTCAGATACACAATCCTCAGGAATTTCCTCTTTGGATTCATCTTTTTCATCATTAACATCGTATTCTAATTCATTCTTTTTGTCAGATTCAGGGAGCATTTCATCGTCATTAGTGGTTTCATCCTCTTTTTCAGTAACTGGAGCCTCTTCTTCATCATTTTGCTCAATACATTTTGCACCTTTAATGCCAATGATGTCACTTTTGGACTCTTTTATCGGACAGAAGGACTCGTCATGTGAAAACAGTTCTGACACCTCCATGTCAGCTTCCGTTAGTGATGATGACATAGAGACTGAGGTTATACACATGAATTCTTCAGGAGACATTGTACTCTCTTCATCTATCATTTTTCACCAGTGGCTACCATTCTTGTATGTTTTGTGAAGAAGTATCTACAGTGCAGCAATTAGTTCCCTTGCATTCAATTGATATACTTTGAGGAGGTGCTAAAGGTTCATCTGATATTGTTTCACTTACACCTGCAGGCTTCACCTCTTCCTCCTTTGGTGGGGCAGTTTCGCTTTCCTTCAAGGACTTTTTGATTTGTTGCATACGGAGGTCATGTAAGTGCATCTGTGTTTGTAGTGGTGAAGATTTTGGGGAAAGATATCCTCTGGTTCGTTGGGTTGGGACTAGTAGCTGTGACGATGATTGGTGCCGCCGTCTCAACTGTTGCAGGAGATTCCATTTTGAAAATTTCCGGATGCTGATATTTCTCAGGTATTGCACGAGGCTCTGTTTTGACTTGCTCTGGCATCTGTAGTGTGAAGGTGGGCGACTTTGTGACGTACAAAGGAGGGGCGCTGTACTCTGGTTCCTGTGGAATCTTTTTGAAGGCCCTCCTAAGGCTACCTAGTTTTGAGGAGAGTGAAGGTGATGGGCTTGGCGGTGCTTCCCTTGGGAGTGTGCCTTTCATATCCTTTTGTTCGTCTGGCATACTCTTTCGAGAATAGCTCTGATCTGAAGAATCGCCTGCAGATGCACTTGGCCTGCTGGAGGTGTTTTCTGGCCAGTCCATGGTCGCGATAGTGTCGTAGGGCGGCGTGCCAGAGACAGGACTTGGGAGTCTCGGGCTTCCAGGTCTAAGATTCACTAGCTTGAGCTCATCCCTCATAACACTGATGCTCTCACGCAGTTCCTTTTTCTTTTGTTGTGTATTGGCACGTGGCATCACGGGACTCACTGTCAGTGTGTTCAGCCCTGCAATAAAGTTCTTTATATGTCCTCCTCTCTTGAGACGAGGACTGCAGCTAGCATGCGTGGAAGCCACTTTCTTTGGTTCTTCTCTCCTCTCGGCTTTCCTTGTATCTAGGGGGTCATGCTGTCTCTCTCTTGCAACGCCCCCCTCTAAGTAAGAAAAGTTGCTTGTAGCCACAGAATGAGGTCGTGCCCTGCGGGGAAATGTGCTCATCCCAATTTCTTGCACAATGTTAAATTCTGGATGTTTTGAATCTGCATTCTTGCTACGGTTGAATTTCAGTGAATTTGTGTAATCCTTCCGTTCCTCTTTCTTGGGATCGTCATTTTCAAAGGAACGCCGTCGACCATGGAAACTGTTGCTCCTTTTAAGCGGTTTGATAAGTTCAGCCTCCTTCTCCTTGGCAGCAAATGCTTTTGAAAACATAGACACAAGCTTCTTCACTGGAGTACTAGGGGTAATTGGGTCTACACTTCTGCGAGGTTCTGGAAATGTTGAGCGTGCGGCTGAACCTCGCTCAAATGCACTCGCTTTCTCTCTGACTACTTTTGCTTTACAGTCTGTCAAGGGAGAAGTTGGAGCACTCTTGGCTCGACTTGTTACCTGCTTCAACTCAGCTTGAAGTGCTTGTTGGACACGGCGGCTGATCCCTTCTGGAATTTCACTGTAAGCTGCAGAAGTACTTCGTCTCTCCTTTATGAGGTTTTGGTGTTCCCAAAAGTCAAATTCCGGTGAGAGTAGAGGACTCTTGCAGCGAGTAGGCACATATAGACTCCGTGGACGTGCCCGGGTGCTTACTCGCGATCGTGACTGGTGCTCATCTCTGAGTACATAGTCAGGAGGACAAGGGGACATGGAACCCTCACGACTGCATCCACGGCTGCCAGGTCGGCTGCCAGGTCGGCTGTCAGGTGCTTGGTAGGAGCAGATAGATGGAACTGGAGAATTTCTTGACAAAGTAATCAGATTATCTACATAGCGAGATGCTGGGTCATAGTCATGGCAAGAAGTAGGTAGGACCCTTGGGGGAGGGGCAGGGTTTGCTGGCATGGGAGCTGAAGCCCTTCGACTGCGCCCGATGCGATGCCATTCCAGCGTATGGAGGCGAGAGTCCACCATACTTATCATTCTCTTCTCAGGCCGGAATCTGAAAGGCACAATATGATTGAGCTGGCGAGTGTAGTCTGACATCACCATGTCATATGCGTGGCTCACATTCCGGAAGGGTAAAACATTTTCGGTCTCGAGGGGTCGTCGGTCCAGCACATGAAGGTGGTGAAGAAGCTCTGCTTGCAAAAAGTGCCTGAAAGTCGCCCATCGCGTTGAAAGCATCATAATGGGGTCAGGAGGGCGATTGCTTTTCAGACTCTTGTGGCACATTTCCCTTGCCTGCTGGTCGCTTCGCCAGTCTAGACACAGAGACCACACGCGATGGTGCGTCAGCAAGCGGGCATAGATGTTATCGGTCCGCAGAAGACTTCCCAACTCTTGTAGAATGAAAGGTGTGCCCAATAGATCAGCATGAATGCCTGTAGCAATCCTGTCAAATCTTCCCTTAAATGGTAAAGGTCCCTTAGCCAGATCCCGAACATTTGATCGGATAAAGGTCAGGGTAACTTGGTTCGAACGTAAGAGTTTGTGACTAGCCTTAGCAAACACCTGTGTGAGAAACTTGAGATACATATCGATCATATTTCCCTCCTTCTTCAGATTTCGAGACACCATGGCGAAATCCCAATCTTGGAATATCATGTCGATGCCGTGAGGAGCGTAGATCATGTCGTCCTCAGGAGCCACGTCCTTGATCCATTCTGTCTCCTCGGACCACTTGGGACTCACGTCTTCAAACTTGGCCAGATATTCGGGCTTGAGCGGACTGAAGCACGCGAGAGTGACGTTAGGGAAGTTTCCACCGGTCTTGTGCTTCCTCAGCGAACCCCTCTTGATCCAGTCGGAGATAGCCTTCTGGTGTTCCCGCGGGCAGGACTTCACATAGCGGCCCAGAACGTCCTTGACCACTTTGCTCGACATTTTGGACGTTCGGACTTTCTCAAGCTTTTGCATCGCTGCTGGGTCGTTGGCAAAGCTCATCCACCCATTCCACACAGCTTGAACGAGGGTGTATGTGACGGCATCGATGTGGACCTGTTAAATGTATGCATTATCATCATGGGTGTATTTAGATAAACCCGTAAGAAAATATTAGGTAAAAATCCCACTCATATAAATGAAAAAAGAGAGGTAAAACAGACTTGAAATGCGTTCGAGGTAAAGCAATATTTTTTTTTTTCTTCTTTTACACTCACCTGCTGTCGGAGCTCATTCAGAAATGTCTTATACGTCATGTTGAGAAGGTTATGGAGCGTGTTGCAGAGTAAAGCATGCGTTTCCATGTCCAGAGCCAGGGAGTAAAACACCATCACAACCTAGGGAAGTTGAAAGGTACAACATTGTCTTCAAAATCAATTTTATTATGAGTCCTAGCTTATATCTTCGCCATCGTCATTGTTACATATTGCAATAAGGAGAGGAAAAAAACACCAGAATAAAGCAAACCACATCCAGATGCTCCATGAACAGAATAAATAAAATCATGATAAGACGCCTGCATCCAAATATAATCTACTTCTTCGGGCTTACCTTCTCAGCATGCGACTGAAGGAGGTTCGGGTCCTGCAGGGGCGTGGGCATGTCGGGCACCATCAGCAGGTACAGCAACAGGAGGTCTCGGGCGAGGATGTGCGGGCTGGAGTCCAACAGGATGAGCTCCAACAGCTGCAAGGCCAAACACAGGGTGGATTTGTGGTCTCTGGGCGTCCTGGCTTCTTCTGTCGTTCTATCTCCCTCTTCCGTTCTTCAATCTCTATATTTCTCTATCTGCCTATCTTTTTTTCTGTCTATCAGTCCATCTATTTTTGTATCTATCCATATGTCTCTATTTGTCTGTCTGCCTGTTTAACTACTCATCTATCTATCTACCAAACAATCTATCGATCGATTTATTTGACTGTGTATCTGCTTATCTAAATAAATATATATCTACCGATCTAGCCACCGAGCTATCGATCTAACTCCCCATTTCATTTTCGATACAGTAACAAAAGCGACGAAAAAAATAAAAGAAATTTCAACGCTGCATAGATAGTGATCACACCTACGACCTACGATATTTACTACTGACCTGAAAGATTGTGCGTGTTTATTAACTATGTAAGAAGAAAGGTTGAAAATACATTTATGAATTGTTTATGGCATATGTCATGTTTGCAAAATAATGACACACACACACACACACACACACACACAACACACACACACACACAGATACATACATATATATATATATATACATACATATATATATATATACATATATATATATATATATATATATATATATATATATATATATATATGTTTGTGTGTGTGTGTGTGTGTGTGTGTGTGTGTGTGTGTGTGTGTGTGTGTGTGTGTGTGTATAGAAAGAAGACAGAAGAGGCGACCTGCGTGCAAGAGTCCGGCGTGTCGTGCAGCGTCCTGAGCACGTGCTTGAGGTCGGCGCCCAGCATGAGGATCCTCAGCGCCTCCTCCTCCCGCCCGCCGTCCCGCCCATCCTCGCTCCTCCTCTTCCACGCCTCCTTCCGCGGGTCCTGCTTCTCCTCGCTCTCCTTCTGCGGCGGGACGAGGGGGGAACGTGAGGTGGAAGGAACGGAGAATGGTGATGGGGAGGAAGGGGAGGTGATTATGGGGAGAAGGAAGAAATTACGATGATAATGATTGTGGTGAAGAGGAAGACCATGGCGATGATTTTGACGGAGATGATGATGAAAAGGAGGAATATGGTGATGATGCTGATAAAGAGACAGGAGTAGGAAAAGAATAACAACGACGATGAAGATAAGAATAAGAGGAAATCGACGATGAGGAGGATAGGGGAAGGGAGACGATGAGGATAAGAATAAGAGGATTTCGACGATGATGAGGATAGGGGAAGATGAAGTCGATGATGAGGATAACAAGAGGATTTCGAGAATGAGGAGGATAGGGGAAGATGACATCGACGATGAGGAGGATAGAGGAAGATGACGGTGATGATGAGGTTAAGAATAAGAGGATTTCGAGAATGAGGAGGATAGGGGAAGACGATGAGGATAAGAATAAGAGGAGAGAATGAGGAGGATAGGGGAAGACGATGAGGATAAGAATAAGAGGATTTCGAGAATGAGGAGGATAGAGGAAGATGAATCGACGATGAGGAGACTCACCGCTCGCTGCGTGGCGTCGGGCGGAGTCAGCGCCGCCGCCTGGCTCCCGGCTCCCTCGTTCTCGCTCCACCTGTTGGCGCGAGGCTTGT